ATTTTTAGTGACCCTGTGCCAAGCTAGAAAAAAATCGTTTGTGGCTTCAAAGCAAAACTTAGTTTATTTGTGCGAATATAATTGATTGCATTTCAACTGAAACTCTGACGCGTGTCTTCATTCGGCAAAGTTTTCTTGACGAAGGCAAGTCATGCGGGTTTTGCCCGATCAGAAAAGAGATTGATTTTTTTCGAAAAATATATTGCATTTCTTTATTCCCACAAGGATTTCTCTTTGTGCATTTAACCATAAATTGTATTCAGAATACATATATATATATATATATATATATATATATATATATATATAAAATATATGTTTTGGTATTCATATATATATATATATATATATATATATATATATATATATGCATACATTTATAAATGCATCTATATATATGTACTTGTAAATAATTATAGAAATATAATAAAATATTTGTCGATATATATATATATATATATATATATATATATATATATATGTTGAAATTTGATATATTTATGAAGGAAGGGTGATAAATATTAAGGCTAGAGCTATATAAACAGCGTGGGTGTAGAAATCAATACTGCGCAGTGACTGGTAGTTTCACACCCCAAGCGATCACCAAGCCTATAAACAAAGTCTAGGTTAAATTTTTCTGTGCTGATTCCACGTGTTTTAGAAAGTTTCTTGATGTCTCAAGTTCATTTATTTAATTACAATTTCTTAACCCTAACCCTAAACTTACCCTTTTTCTTTCTATTAACCAATATAGTGCATACCGACGTCCACGTCCAACCTATCCTGTAAATTATTTCGTTCTACATTCCTATATTATAATCCTTCATTATTTGTAACGTTGTTACGAATTTCGTGTTTTTCAACCACTCAATTTGTTAGTCTAGATTTTGGGTTCCTGAGGTGAGATCTCTTGTATATAACATGAGTGCATTAAGCGTTTTTAGCGATTACACGCAGAAATTGCATCTTAACCGCCATCATAAACAATGCTTATATTACTTGTCTATACGATTGTATGATAAAGAATGAGACAAGAAAATCTCATAACGAGTTAATACCAAATAAAAAAAACATTCCCCTGAATGTTAGGAGACATACTGTAAAACGTATTCTAACCAAGTAAAGTGCCCCTTGCCCCTATGCACCAACGATTTTATGACATGACTAGTCTAGATGACCTCTTCAAGAAAATAAAAGTAGAAACTATCCTAGCCTACTTGAAGGAGGATAGTCTATACAAGTTCTAGCACTAAATGACTAGGGATAAATGGATAGTGATGGAACCAATAAGCAAAAGGAATATATAGTCATATATTTTTTTGAAATCTTTTCGGCATTAAATAACAGATGTAACATGCCGCTAAAACAGAACAATCAATCACTCATCCAAATAAAAGAATCTTACCAGCCAATGACGTGTGTTTGTTTACGAACATATCTTATAATACCTATTTTTCATAGAAATGTGTTCGTTATTGAATGTTGTTGGCATTCAATTCGCGGCAACCTGTTTCAAAATTACTTATTTCTTTTGATAATGACACGAATCTCATCAACTCTGTCAATAGATATGAATTTACAAAATATTTGGCATTTTTCTACAATTCTCTTGCATTCAGTTTCCATAGAAACAACTAAAATCAGATATTTTAGTAAAAATGCCTCTTACCTACGCGAAATCTACTTCGAGATTGAACATAATTCTACAAAACAAATATATAGCATGCAAGGGTTAACATTGATAGATAACTCAGAAATTGAATTTCTGATAGTAAACGAGTTTAATCTGCTGTAAAAGAATTAGATATACTGACTTATTTCATTGAAATGTGTATGTGTGTGTGTGCATTTATATGTGTGCACGTCTCTGTGCGTCTGTGTGTGTCTGTAATTTCAACGCTAACATCAGACGATAAGAAATCTTCTTTACTGTTGGAATATGCCGTCTGAAGGGCAGATAGCTCCTAGATGAAATAAAATCTACGAATGTGTTTGCAAAGTATGTGTATAAATGCGATTGCTATTTGGAAATGTATGTAACTATAAACATCAATGTGGATGTGTGCATTTACATATAAAGTGTATGTAGAGAGCTGATCAGACATTTGACTATGATGTGTGTAGATGTGTTTTTTGAGGTGAACGCCAAACATTATACATGTCAGTAAACGTGTGGAAATGTTTGTAATTATTTCTATCTCAATAAATAAGCGTTCAGTTAAGGTTTTCTTCGGTTTCATATCGATCCTTTCACCTCCAATAAGATGTTCCCCAACTACCATCATTCACCTCCCATCTTCAGTCGCCATTCCTCCCTCTGCTTCTTTTCCTAATCCTCGATTTCTCTTTTTTTCACACACTTCCCTTTTCGTTTTCATTTTAACATACATGCAAAAACACCCTCTCATACTCTATCTACTTACCTCTCCCTCTGTCTCCCTCTCTCTTAATCTATCTATCTATCTATCTATCTATCTATCTATCTATCTATCTATCTCTCTCTCTCTCTCTATATATATATATATATATACCGGATGTAACACCATAATTGTCCATCCCACAAAATGTTTAATATCTTAAGAACCGCTAAACTAATTGAGTTTCTTTTTTCCGGATTTTCGGATAAGACGTTTAACCATTTTGACACTGAAAAACCCTTCGAGTTATTCAACAAGAAAGAAAACAGGTTAAAATTGTTTTGTGTCAGCCCCACTCTTTCCCAAATGAGAGGAAAAATATCTTTTAGGCCTTCAGTAATGGTACCAACATTCATATTCTGGTTTCTGTTTTCAATGTCCATTAAAAACCATTAAGAGAATAGTGAATAAGTTTTAAAAAGAGAGAACGGTAGAGAGGAAAACTGGATCAGGAGGTAACAACAGGAAGAGGGATCATCATTTCAACTTAAAACTAAAGAGATCCTGTTCAATCAATAAGACGTTTGGCGCGTGAGAGAGGGGTTTCAGTTAGGGCCAAAGAACAATAAAAAAAGATTTGAAAATGAAATCGTACGTGAAACCTGCGAGGTACCTTGTTACTCTAGAACAGAAAGTTAGAAGGTTAGAGAGGGCAAAGATCTTCTTGAAAAAGTTGGGAAATGATCCTGGAATCTTGGAATATATATATATATATATATATATATATATATATATATATATATATGAACTTAATTTCAATCCTTCATGAGCTTCCAATCCTTAGCTATGATTAATTAATGATCATTTTCATTTATGATCTATTTCATCACCATTCTTCTCTTATGCTTGGAGAGTAATTATACATTCTTATTGCCCAAAGTCGAGTTCAACAGTTTTATAAAAAAAACTGAGAGAATTTCAGTAAGATAACTTTAATTATTTCTAAGATACAATGGTTCAAAGCATATTCTAACAAATGGACAACTTTGCTTTTAAACGATTTTGGACAATTTTGCTGTTACACCCGGTATAGTGTTTCAAGCGTATATATACATTATTACTACAGAAGTTATTTTTTGTTGGTACACATGTTTCAGTTCCATTTTTTATTTTATTAAACATTGAAATTAATACAAACTGAGAAGTCTTACTAAGAAAAAATTGTACCTTCGACAGGAATCGAACCTACATACATTTTTCCATCAGGGAGACAACATAGTTATCATCGCTGTCTCAATTTGTTCATATCTAAGTCAGTTCTCTAACAAGCAAGCTGTCACAGTCTACTTGCATCTGTATGTCTTGCTCTCTCTCTCTCTCTCTCTCTCTCTATCTCTATCTATCTATATATATATATATATATATATATATATATATATATATATATTTATATATATATATATATGCATATAGTCTGTACGTCTGAATCAGTCCCGTTCATACTTATATAATTTTTTTTTTCTTTATTGTGCCAGACTCCTTTTTTGCCCCTCTGTCAGTTTTCATCAACAGAAATGTGTCTTATATAAGCGAGGCAATTTGATCGGGTCTGTCTGCTTCAGACAGATTGAGATCGATATCCAAACTATACACCTCTATCGATCCGATCAGTTGCCGGAAGTTGGTGATCAAAGAAGGTAATTGCTGCTCGCTTCCCTCCGTCATCTTTTCACACCATGCCGCACAGTCGGTGTTCAAATGTTGTTTATCAGGTATAAAAAGTCAAATCAAATGTTTGCACAAAGAAGTAGAATCTATTTATTGTATTTCTCATGTGAACCAGTTTATCTTCTCATTCGCTTAAGCAAGAAGAGTGACGTCACAGAAGTAGTTGAAATTATTCTTTCATTTTATTTGGTGTTCATTTCCCAAAAAAGAAAAATTCCATGCAAGATTAAAGAAAGTTATCTGTAACGTTTCAAACTCGTTGAAATAGACAAAGGTTTATATAGTCATTCATATATATATATATATATATATATATATATATATATATATATATATATATATATATATATATATATATATATAACAATATTAACAAACAATATATATACTTTTTACTACTCAATTAGTGAAACAATAAAAAAAGATGTTAATTTTTTACGATTATCTTTTATTCCGTCACTGTTTTTGCTCCACACTTGAGACCGCTCAATTGCGAGAACTCAAATCAGGGAATGACAAGAAAAGAAACATGTTATTCTCACAAGGTGTGTACGAGAAATGAGATTTTCGGAATGCTTTTGCTTCGACACGTGTGAATGATGGTGTTTTGTTTCAGTTTTTATCTTCCATATGTAACCCCGATCTTGGCACTGATATTAACTTTCGATAAATCTATCCAATTAAAAAAGACTTTTCATCGCTGGTAAAGAGAGTCGGACATTTGAAATAAAAATATTTCCTTGAGACTGAATAGGGAGGAACTTTTTTCTTTAATTTTTTGACATGATGAAAAGCAACTGTGGACATGCCGTGAATGAGTTCACTATTTCGACGCCTAACATGTCACAATTAGAGACGAATTTGACAACTTTGAAACTAGTGTTTTCTTAAGTTTCATAAACGAGCCTTCCCAACTTATAGATAAAACCTACTATATACCACCCACTTCTTATAAATACGAAATACGATATGAGAGTATGCATCAACATTTCTGGAAAATGATGAACTAGCGTTAAAACAGAATGAGATAGATAGATAGATAGATAGATAGATAGATAGATAGATAGATAGATAATGAAAAGAGTTATCTGGAAGAAAAAAATTTTACTTCGTTATTAGCTGACATGGATAATAAAAGAAAAAGTATGAAGTACGTTTGTGTGCGTGCCTGTGTATGTGTTGTGTGTGTGCGTGCCTCTGTGTGTGTGTGTGTGTCTGTGTGTGTGTGTGTGTGTGTGTGTGTGTGTCTGTGTGTGTGTGTGTGTGTGTGTGTGTGTGTGTGTGTGTGTGTGTGTGAGATGGTTGCTTCCCATCAAATTTTTCCCATGAAAATTTTTTTCATCTTAAATTTTAACTTTAATCTTTTATACAAAATTTTCCATTACTCTATATTCATCTTTTTTCTATGTACCGAGTTCCCTCGGGACGTAGTCGATCTTGTTTCTCCACTACTTCTTGTATTTTGTAGCATTTAGGAATGTTTGTCTTTTTGCTATCTCTCCTAATCCCTGTTCTACCATCCATTTTCATAAGTTTGTTCGGCAGGGGGTTATGTGCCTTTGATTTCCCCTACCCTTCTTTCCTTCAATATGTCGTGTGAGTGTTAAATTTCCAAACACTCTTTTCTCATTATGTGCACTATAAAATTTTTTGTTTCCATTTTCTATAAAAATTCATAATTGCTCACATGTTCAAACAATGGTATTCTCAGTATCCTTCTGTAGAGCCACATTTCTCTTGCTTCAAGTTTCTTCTTTATCTATTAAGAGATTGTCCAGCATTCACTAGCATATAGGAGGACCTCCATTACATAACAACCTAGTAATCTTTTCTATGTTTCCAATGAAATTTTTCTGTTTCTTAAGACTTTATTTAACTTTTGAAAGATATCTTTCGCTATTCCAATGTGTCTTCGGATTTTGATGTCATATTGTCCGCCCTTTATTAAAACACTTCCGAGATATTAAAATGTTTGTACTTGGTTAATTTTTCCCCAACACGTAGTTCACTTCTTGGATTGTTTGTTTTCCTGACAACAATTCTGTCTTCTTAAATTGATGGTTAATCCTTTCTTTCCGCTTTCGTTTACTATCTTCTGTAGAAATGCTTGTAATTTACTTTCCGTGTCTGCTATCAACACTATGTCATCTGCATATTTAGTCTGCATATATAGACTGTTAAGATAGTGGCCGTCAATATTGAATCCTCGTAGGACTTATAATTCTCTCAGAATCACCTCGCTGTAAATGTTAAATAAGTCCGGTGAGAAGACACATCCTTGTCTTACGCCCTTTTCTAATTTTGTGTTTTTACCGAATTATGTTATTTTTTGATTAGGGTGGCATTAGTGAAATGAAAGTTATGCCCAGCATCGTTTGATGCAAAATACTTTAAGAAGAAAATACATTGAAAACTTAATAATAATATTATTACCAACTATAAACACACGCCTAAAACATTACATCAGCATTTTTCTGTGAATCCCTTAAAGAATCTAACTTATATCTAATACAAAGAATACATGCTTAAAAAGGTCAGCCATAAATTAGAATCATGTGACACACTGCTGCGCGGGTTGATCACACAAAGTTAAAGACATTCAGAATTCTCACTAGACAGACACACAAACACAATTACGAATACATATTACGATTCAATGCCCATTTAGCCATAAAAGAATCTTCACAAACTTACATAAATATAGAATTAACTACGATTTTAATACACGTGGGGCGTGTCTGACCAATGAGAACTGACCCAAAGAAAATTCAAAATGCCAGTGGTTCTGTCTTTTTGTCTGTTTTCTCTCAATATCTGACGAAGCTTTAATAAAAATGGAACATGTTAGATTGATATGTTTCCTGTTTGCTCTTTATTTTGTATGTATATGTGTGGTGTACCTCGAGGTGGTGTTATGGTTAGCAAACTTGTATCTCTAGAACAATTACGACTGAGTAGTGAGTTCGATCCTCACTGGGTGCCCCTTATTTTCGGCATTGTGCCACACCCAAGCTACGCTTGGAAAATCACTATATATGTATATGTGTGTGTGCGTGTGCGTTTTATTTCAGGATGTTGAATAACAATATCCCCCCCAAAAAGTGGAAATAATTAAATAATTTGGATAAAAGTAATCAATTACGCCGCTTAGAATATAAGAAAAAAAGTAATAAAGATCCTTAGCAGACATTTCACCCAAAGAGTTAGTGCTTTTCGCGTTGTCTTTATATGGAATTCATATATTGTTTTCATTCTTGTTTTGTATTTGTTTTTTGGGGGTTTTTTTTTTCTATTCTTGCGTACGACTGAATATCGTACATGAGCCCAGATTGTAAGGTTGGCCGTAGAGAATTGTGGTATCAGTGCACTTTCAAGGCATCATATTTTGAGTAAATTATATTCTCTTTTAATCAGACTGGCAATTTTTAAGTCGAAATTATAGACAGATATGTTACGGTAAACTACTAGTGCGTTGGAAGCAGATTTATGCAATATCTCATTGTAATTCTTTTATAGTCATTTTTAAAGATTACTGGATGTTCCGCCGATGTAGGTCATTGGGAATTTTATGCATTTTTTTTTGTATTCCCGCCTCTGGTTTATTATTGTTGCCATTTCGTTTAGTGCTGATGATATCTTTTATTGCTTTAGAGATTGCGCTGATCAAGATTGGAAAATTTGTTTTTGATGGTAGATTTTATTGGGTTGAATTATGGGTGTAGTTTTGTTATGGTTGTTGGGCTTCCATTTTTATCTTCTGTCGATTTTGTATTTAGCATTATACATAAAATAATTCAGGTATTAGTGGAGTATGACAGTTGTTTTCTTCCACTCGTAGATATTGAATGTAACATATTCTAAGAGCTCTTACAATCAGCATCTCCATTTTCTCACGCACGGATTTGTTTCTTACTATAACCTGAGCCGTACGCCTACTTTATGGGACGAAGCTCACAAACACACGCACACATCCTCGTGCGCATATATATATATATATATATATATATATATATATATATATATATATATATATATATATATATATTGTGCAAATGTATATAGTTGGTTTATACACATTTACGTATTTCTTTTTTAAAAATATTCACTCAATACACAACTGAAATACAGTTTTTTATAAAAACTTTCGCGAAAAAATTATTATTATATACATATGTATGACAGAATAAAGAACATCCCCAAAGCAACATGCGAATAACCACTAGACATAAATAATGCCAACTAGACACACACACACACACACACATGCGTATATACGTTATCATCTGAATCCCGCATAGACAAAGTAGAATTATGATACAGTTACACACATAAATTATATACGCAAATGCCGCTTAACAAGTGAAATGCACGTGAAGTCTACTTAACGAAAAAACACAAAAATAAAAATACCTTTTTTCTTTCTGCATATCTTAGCCTCTGATGAAACTTTAATAAAAGCGAAACATGTTAGATTTATAAACATTTTCTATTTGTTCTTTATCTTTTCATTCTGTCGGATTCCGATCCATATTTGATCTTAATTTATAAACACACACAAACGCACGCACACACACACATACACACACACACACACACACACACACACACACATATATATATATATATATATATATATATATATATATATATATATATGAAGAGACAGATACAGAGAGAAAGAGAGAGAGAAAAGAGAAAGACATTTACTATCTTGCAGCTGAGATTCTGAACGACTCTAGAACCCCCCTCCCCTGCCACCAACGATTTGTTTTTGTCACTGTCTTTTTTCCTCTTCTCATTTCGGTGTTGTCCTTTTTACCACTAATACACCAACTATTGTGCAACATATTTTTGCGCATGAAAATTCCTAAAAGGAATTAATGCATTCTTTCATAGCGCTTTAAATCAACGAAAAAAGGAATTAGAACAGTGAAATTAGCCAAGGAGATATGTCAGCGGAATTTCAAGAAACGACATTTCTGAAAACTTCTCGAAGTCCCAAGGCACTGGAAGTGTTTCGCATCAGGTTCCAAATGGCCGATCTCAAAAGTTACAACATAGGATGGCACGGAGACTGATTGGAATAGCAAAAGTTCAACAGAAAAGAAGAGTATATGACAAATATGAAAGATACGTGTGACTTATTCAATTTGGTGTCACTCATTTGTCAAGCATTTCAAGACATGTTAAAGTTTTGCAAAGAGGTATGAATTATAAGATGAAGATGTTTGGAATAAGATTACATTCAGAAATGAAACTAGGATGGAGATTCACTCTAATAAGCGATAATTTATTAGAAGGCTCAGAAGATAACGAAACAAATTATGTTACACGAGGTAAACAGTAAAGTTAGTGGGTGCAATAGTTTGACGTTCTGGAGATAGACAAGGAGTAATCGTTTTGGGGATAAGGAGTAATCGTTCAAGATCGTTGACGGAAACTTAAATGGTGTCAAATACATTCAGTTGTTTATCCCAGATTTTGATGAAAGCGAGATTTTTCAGCATGTCGGAAATCCATGCCACAAAATTATAGTATTTGGATGACGGTATTAACTATTAAAATATTAACGAGTTCAGAGCCTTAAATTTTGCCGAGGAAATCTGGGGAAACTATACAGAAGAGATCGTCAGAAAGATCCTCGCAATCTTGAAGAGTTATCACAGCTTAATCCCTAAGAATGGCATCTCATATCTACGAAGATAGAGAAGGTTTTGTATGTATCCCATTCCAGACTATATTGAATCAATTACTCCAGTTACAGGAATCAACACGAAATACAAACAACGTGCAGAATTCCTTGAAATAAACATTATACATTTTCATTATAGATACATTTTCCTGTTTTAAAACCCTATATCTTGCTTTGTTTATGTGAGGTGACCAAAACTTTTTCCACGAACATTTTAGAGAACGTCTCGCATCTCCCCTCTTTTTCAGAATACCTGCTATAAAAAAATAAGAATGAGTTACGGAAATGTTTTCAGTAAAACCAATGTTTAATTTATGGAATGCGTGATGCAAAACAGACACTTATAATCTAGTAACTATTAGAAATTTACAATACTTTTAAACTTTCTGAAGACTTTTACACGGTATTGTACATGTACGTATATAGAGGCCTATGGAGAGGGTGGGTAGTTTGACAAAGTGCCCGGAGCCCATGTACGCCGAAAATCCCAGAATAAAATTAATATAAAATTAATATATTAGATAACAGTCGAATAGTCTTGATATCTTCCACCCGGACCAGTGCTTAGATAATCGGACTAATTTGTGAAAAATTTAATAACATTGTACAGAAAAAAAAGTTTTCCACGGTCAATGAATCCTGCCAGGGACCAATATGGCCCCAATTCCAGTGTCCACCACCTCTCTTGTTGTATATATATATATATACATATATATATATATATATATATATATATATATATATATATATATATATATACAACAATATATATATGTGTGTGTGTGTGTGTGTGTGTGTGTGTGTGTGTGTGTGTGTGTGTGTGTGTGTGTGTCTATGTCTGTGTCTGTGTTTGAGTGTATACTGTAGATCTATTCATAATAATATGTTTTTGGATTCATTACAATGAATAAAGTCTGTAAAATAAATTACACCGATTATGATAAGTTGGATGTGAGCTGGTTTTGAAGATAAGTTGTTAATTTAAGCAAATTTTGTTACGCGTACGTAACCAAACATATTTTTTCACCAAAGCAGTTGAAACTAAGAAAACCTGGACAAAAAAAGATTTACGACTAAGTTGTGAGGAGACAGTGTAGATTCAGCTAAATTATTGTCAACATGCGAAGCCTAAGTCGATGTATGAAAGTACAGAACATGTTTGAATTATAATTAAGATTTTACAAACATGCTGGAGTCTTTCAATAATAAAAATATCAATTTGCATAAATTAATTGTAAGCCACTTAGAAACTATGCATGTTCTTTCTTTTACTTCTTTGACCTTACAGTAATATAAACTTTCTTTACAAGACGACTTCAGCTAATGTTATCTCACTATTGTGTGAGCAGAAAAAAAATATAGCCAGTAAGTAATGGTAATAATTCTAGGCAGATGGAGAAAAGACTATGTGCTTCTGTAGAGGGATGTTGCAAATACCATAGACTGAATATGTGAGTAATGAGGAAGTTTTAAGGACAATAGAATGAAAAAGGACACTTATACTTTTAGAAAGAGACAGATGAAATTTCTACACAATGAAGCAAAGTGGGCCCTGGACAAGTTGCCATTCACGGGACAAATGGAAAGCAACAGAGGAAACTGAGTAACTTGTCTAAACTTGTGCAAATGGATGACAGAACAGGCACTGGGGAGATGATAAAAACAAGTTTCAGCGTGTTACAAAGTATAGGAATGTGTGAATAACTGTAATCGCCCATGTCTAGAAGGGGTGCGGCACTTAGGAAAAGAAGAAGTAATTCTACGAACTGTATTCATTTGAATCACTATGAAAGTTAAGAATTTAAGTAACATGATAACAACCATCACATATTTCGTACTAAGTTCATTTCCAGTTTCTGAATATTAAAATTACCTTTTTTGATTAGTCAAATGTCATTGACCGCCATGTTGATTTCTTTATCAAAACCCATTGTTAACCTTATCAATAAATCCTCCCTGCTTGTCTTTTGCTTAATGCGTACTAACACGATGTTTATTTGATCGCATTTGATAAGGGCGCTTACATAAAAAAAAACCCTGCTTGATCGTAGTTGCATATTTGCCTCTTGCGCCAGTGGATAGGTTTCGAGTCACTATTAAGGCCATGATTTCTAATATCTCCCCATTTAGAAGATTAGCACAGTATAATCTTTTTAACCACCATTTCTCATTCAACTCCATTGGCTTTATGACAGATTAAGCTTCTGAATTATGAAAGTAAAAACAAACTTAGAGAAAATCGATTGGAAATAAATCAAAACTATTGCAATCATCAAGAAATAATCGAATGGAGAAAAGCAACGAGAAAGAAAATTAACTGATTTTGCATCTTTTTTGTCGATATATTCCTTTGTTATGCGTCTAATTGTATGTGAATGTATGTCCTCTTTCATTTCTATATGTGATTCACCTCGTGCTATATGACCGCAAGTTTTCATTGCCTATTGAGCTGTTGCAATGTCGACTCTCAACTAAAAAACAGTGATTTTATATATTGTCAGATCCTTTATCAATTCCTTCACAAGAGATGACCAATGTTATCTACAAGTAGATCATCTCAAACTTGACGCTTATTGAATCCAGAAACTAAAAAAAATTTGCAATACCTTTTATATATATCTTTGACAGAATTTGTAAAGAACAAAAAGCGTAATTTTCGAACAATACAAAAAATGTTAGCCAAAAATTGTAGCTAAGATCTAAAATAGTAAAATTGTTCTATTTACACACTCTTTTCTTCATCAAATCTCCAAAGAAAATAGTTATAATAAGGTAAGAATATTTGTGATTTTTTGCTAAGTATTTACGGTGCAACTAAGGACCAATACTAAGCGTTTACCGAGTATTTGCATTTAATAGAGCTAAGTACAGCCATTCATGCTGGCAGATATGACGCCAGTATTAAAAATGAAGAGACCATTCTTCTCTTCGAAATCAGCTTATTTAGAAGGCTCATCTTATTGGTAAATATACAACTGACTCGGCCACGAGGTAGGTTTATTTGTCTATTACCTTTTTTTATTTGTATCTTTTCTCTTTTTAATTCAGTTGAAAACTGTACAAGACAAAACAGGAAAAAACATATATGTCTGACTGAAAATGACATGGGAGATTTTATATTAACTTATCAAAAGATAACATTAACTATTCAATATAATAGTTCATCATTCATGAAACGAACTCTAAACAAACGCAGCAAGGATTCTTCGATCTTTTGAATTGCAATCAAGTATCGGTATATGACCGCCTTCATAGATTGGACATGGATGGCCTTCGATTTGCAAAGGATATTCTATTCTGGCACAAGAACACAGCCTAGAGACTAAGCTTAAAAGATGATCGCACTAAGCATTTATACCACTTTCTGCCCACTTATTCTGCTTCTTATATTGTTCAGTTTATACTTTATACGTTTTTAGCTGAGTATTTGGGATATCAAATCAAAGGTTGACATTATTGATTTCCATAACATTAACTAAATCATACAGAAATGGTTATATATATATATGTGTGTGTGTGTGTGTGTGTGTGTGTGTGTGTCCTTTTGCCCAAGCGCACAACATGGCATGTTTCAGATTTACAAACACGTCATCTTTATCAAAACGTCAAAGTTTGACAAATATTAAAAGATAGTTTTTTAGAAATATATAGACCTACATATGTCTATATAGTATTAAACATCTTTGTACACATCTAAACACGCTCATGCGTACAGCTATGTATAGAGTGAAAAAGATTATTTATTTCTATAATTTCCCACTTGTTAGAATGTTTTATTTGCAGATTTAGCACAGTGCCACAATTACCTGGGCACCCATTGAGAAGCAAACTCGCTCGTTTGCTATACCTGAAGCCGAGTTATACATCCTTTCCCACTAGGTGCCGAATGGTATGCGATTTCAAATGCATTTGTACAATTCACATACATTCCCTACTTCAGTCTCTTCTTTTCTCCAGAGAAACACACAGACAGGGATATACACACACACAGATAGTTTATATATATATATATATATATATATATATATATATATACAAATAAGAGAAAGAACGAATGGAGTAAAAATCCACAGTGCGTAGCTTGTTATTAAATTTCCCTAAAAAATAATTTTTAACACCAGTTACCAACCATCGACTGAGGAAGTACAATCATAATATTGAAACATGAAAGCTTTTGTGTAACGATGAAAAATGTTTTTATTATAATCTCGTATAATATATATATATATATATATATATATATATATGCCAATGATTCATTGTGTTTCACACAATACACGCATCCCCAAGACTCACCGGTTTTTGTTTTTTTTTTTTGTTTGTTTTTGTTGCATGTAATTGTTTGCGATAAACGCAAAGAATTACATTTGTAGGAAAGAAAAGAAAGAAAGAATAATGAATGCGCGTCAGTGAGCCAGTGACTCAGTTCAGGCTTACAACTGGCCAAGATTTGATGAATGATCTTTTAAACTGGCTTTACACTGAATCCGAGACGGTGCGGAGAAGTGAAGGGACAAGCAGTCAGTCAATAGAAGAATGTTTCCCACTGAAGTAGCCAGCGGCTATCAGTGGTGAGTTCCAACTCAACGAAATGAGATCAATATGTATTGATGACAGCTTTGGCTGAAGGTTTAATAGACTCCATCATGACTGCCAGCTGAGTGACCACATGGTGCAATCAAACATGGCCCTAGTTACTGGACAGTAGCGTGGACAAGTATGTGAAGATGTCACTTACTCACGCCAAATGCTCCCAGACTTTTATGTCCCGTTCTCCCAATGGTTGACCTCCACGTCATTGAGAGACATTATGCATTCTGATATGATTGGGCCGAGAGGTGATTCTGCCCGCCAGATATTTTCTCTGCCCAATTTTCTCTTGCTTGCCTTCTAAAATTTGATCTAAAGCATGAATTGTTTAGTGGAAGAAATTCGAAGTACTTTAATTAAAAAGGAAGTGTTATAAGGTACAGCTCAGACCATTTGAGCGTATATTATGTCAGCCCAGACGCATATATATATATATATATATATATGTGTGTGTGTGTGTGTGTGTGTGTGTATTGACAGACAGACACTGAGATAGATAGAATGTGAGAGAAACACATAACACGACTCACACACGCGCGCACACACACACGCACACATATACACACACACACACACACACACACACATATATATATATATATATATAGTAGTTAATATTAATCACATGACTTGATTTTTCTTTAATCATTTTTTTATCATTTAACTATAGAAAGGCCATAAATCCACTAAGACGCAAGAATATGAGAAAAAGTAAACATTATTAAGGAGAGAGAACAATAAAAGAACACGAATCCAGAAGTTAGAAGATAATAATTTAGACAACATTTGAATTTTTAAAGATCAAAGTTTAGGAAGCAAGAACACAAAAGAGAGTTATACAAGCAAAAAGTGCGAAGATGTAAGTAAAATAAAAGTTAAGAAAATATCTACTCTTGATAGATCGAGAGGTGTACTGCACATTGTTTAATAAATAAATAAAAATGAGGCATCTATTTAAAATAAAAAGTCTCCACTTTAATAACGTTTGAAGTAATAAAGTGTCTGATTAAAAATAAATCCATTAATACTTTAGAAATTTTTTTTGTTTACATTTCAGATAGGAAACTGAGCAGATAAGTCTCTCTCGAGAAATAATCTGAGTGAGGAGGCGTGCTTCCCTTAAAAGGGAAAATACTGTCTTTCTTAAGTGTGTTACTCTCTGTAGCCGAGTAGTAAAGCACACCGGCACGGAGGATTTTCTTCATTGTCATTTCTCAAATACGGAGGCCAATAAGCATTATAAGTAATAAAAATACTGAATTAAAATAAATAACTATATATTAAAATATAAATTTAGATTTTAGTACATTTAGATATTTAACAACAGTATTAATTTATCCAACTAACACCGCGAAATCCGGAAATATTAATCAGATTTTGAACAGTTCTTTTGTACCTGATGATTGCATAGTGCATAAAATTCTCAGTAGTACTGTCGGCGTTGGGTATTATGTATATTTATTTATATATATTAGTGTGAGTGTGTGTGTGTGTGTGTGTGTGTGTGTGTGTGTGTGTGTGTGTGTGTGTGTGTGTGTGTGTGTGTGTGTGTGAACATCATTAAATATGTGTGTATGTATGTGAGTGGGGACACGTGATTTTTTAATAAGTTAACTAATCGAACAGCTATGTGTCTATGTTTCTCAGATGAAATAGGATTAATTCGCAGTAGTGACGAACTAAACGATGGCTTAGTTGAATAAGTTCATACCTTCATATTTTATCAGCATCATATCTCCAGGTTTCTTACATTGCCTTCTGCTCATGCGTGCTTACAATTGGTACTATTGTAACGTGATCAAAGTTTGCGCTTGATCATGCCAGTTTTCTTGCTGCTATTACAATGTAAACATACCGCCATCTGCATAAGAAGAAGTCAGTGGGACAAGCCTAAAGATATGGCGAAAGTGTGGATAACTTTTGTTTGAAGATCCTATTATTATCTACGGGTATCATTAATATTAGTATTATTTTGCTGTTAATTTTACTTTGTTTATTTCAAAATACATAATATGGATACTTATTTCAAAGAGAAAGGGAATAAAGGATTATATTCCAAGATTTATTTTCTAATCTAGAACTATCTTAATAGCTGAAGGCAAATGACTTCTTCCACCATTAGCATCGATCACTACCTTAAATTTCTGTCTTATACTCTTCACCAGTTGCAATATATTGTTTTGTAGCATCGTATTCTATTCCTTAACCACAACACACAGTTCTTGGAGGTTGCGTGGTTAGGAGTCCTCAGCATCGTTTTTTATTAAAACCCAAAAGTGTCGGCTTTATATCCAGTAACATGGTTGACCACTTAACATGTGGGACATCTGCCTCTTAGAGATGTGCTATAATTATGAAGAGTTGAGATGATGGTGGCATCATTGAGAGATAATTGGATCAATAATATTCCGTAGCTAAAGATTATGTGATGGTTCCATCAAAGATGACTATGTTCGTTGTCTTGTGGCTGGTTATTCCTCACCACAGTTTTATAGCCGCCTAGTCCAGTTCGATAGTTTGGGACCATGTTAATTGTGCATAACGCTCACCTCGGCGTCTACATACTGCTGATAACCAATGACCATCGTTTTGGTACAAAGTGATTCTCATCAGTAAACAATATTGGTGACCATAGCATTGTTTTCTCACATGTGACGGGCCGATTGCAGATTAATTTGACGATGTCTCCTCGTTAGAGCTATCACACGCAATATTATTAAGTGATTATCATATATATATATATATATATATATATATATATATATATATATATATATATATATTATTAAATGATTATCATATATATATATTATTAAGTAATTACCATATATATATATATATATATATATATATATATATACTTATGTATGTATGTATGTATGTATGTATATATTCTGCCTAAATTCACAATATATATGTATATATATATATAGATATAGATATATATTGTTTATTTAGGCAGAAATTTCTCATTTATACATGTTTAAGTAAATACAACAGACAAGGTACTGCGAATAAGCTTTTTATTTAATTTTTCTTATGTTCGAATAAGTGTTTCCCATTCTGGACACAGAGTGTGTAGAAACTGTACAAATGTTCTGTAATTCCGAGCGTTTTCGGCTATTCTTTTAGTCATTATCAAGGATGATTTTATTTTTACTTTTTAACTGAATGTATGTGTTGTGTGTATGTGTCTAAAGTTATAGTGATGTTTTATTTTCCAAAAAGTCAGCACATTGTGGCCGTGTTCTTAGTTAATATTATTAAGTGCTGGCTGTTTCTTTTTTTATTATTAAGGCTTCCATTATATCTAATCTTTTTTTAAATGTGGAGGAGGTTTTTATGGTTGTATTTTCTATCAGTATGTTTCTGATAAGCTGGCGTATATGTTTAAACGTGGATAAGAATTTAGTAGTGTGACCGATGTCATTATTTATGAGTTCGGTTTGATCAGGAACACAGTTCCTTGAGGGGCATTTGAACTCGTAAATAATGTTCGTTCTTTGTAGTTTTGATTTTGCAGGTGTGGTGTTATTTTTGAGGATAAGGGTATCAGTTTTAAATTATTTTTAGTAGATAATTAATTTAATGTTTTTGTTCGGGTCAACTGGATTAGTGTATTTCATTATGAGATTTCTAAGTGAAGATTCATGTTGTTTATAGTTGACGTGCATTTGGCTTTTGTAGAAAATATTTATGTTATTTTTGTCTATCTTTATTATTTACTTTGGAAATAAATAATCTAATCTGTTGGTCGATGAGATGGTTAAGAAAACCATTGTTAAACAGTGTCTGTTTTGCATTGTTGAGTTCTTTAAGGAAAAGTAGACCAGAGGTTGAATTCTTGTATCCTCTCTTTAGGAAGTTTTTTATTACTGCTATTTTGTATGTGAGTAGACATTCACTTTTAAAATTGAGGTGGCAATAGGTTCTGCTAGTGGGCTTGTATACAATGAGGTAAAAGTATCGGTACTATATTATACGAGAATGTCTAAGAATAGGGGTTTACTTTTTTGACTAAGTTCGTAGGAAAAGTTAAGGACAGAATTTTTTTTCAAATGTAGTCTAGAGAGTATCAATTTCTTTTGTGTTTTTCGCTAAAATAAAAATATCGTCGACGTAGCAGACATATTTTTCGGTTTACTGACCTGTTTAAATATTATGTTTTCTACATGGGAGACATGTAATAATTGGAGAAATACGGACTGAGCGGATTTCCCATACTAACACCATTAGTTTGGGTGTAGATGTTGCTATTATGGTCGTAGAAGGAGATGCATGTATGTAATAATTTTCTGAGGATATTTGGTTTGATTTATGGAAGTGGGATAGAATTATTTTTTTACACGGAGTTAAGGATAATGTCCGTGGCTTGATCAAAGAGACGTTTGTGAATAAATTTTCAATGTCGAATGACCTTGAGTGACCTTCGGTTGGTTTTTTACTTTTTAGAATTTGGAGGAATTTATGGGTAGATTTGATGCTGTAATTGGTGGATAGGTATGGGGTAATGATGTCATTAAGAAATGTTGGTAGCTCCTAGATCGGGGGTGGGATTTGGATAATGATTAGTCATAGCGGGTATCCGGGTTTATGCATTTTTATATTTTCGTAATAAATATCCGGTTTGGTAGTCTCTGAAGATTTTTTAGATTTTCAGGAAACGAACGTCGGCGTTATTCGACGTTATGTGTTTGTTAACGGACCTTTTTAGGGGCTCCGTGGGATTTCTGTTTAGTTTGGTGAATTTAGTTCTGTAATGGATGTTGTTTTGTAATTGTTATGGTAATCGGCTGTATCCAAAATTGCATATGTATTAGCATTGTGGGCTCGTCTGATGACAATGTTAAGATTGTTTTGTAGTCCTTTTGAAGTGATTTTTAGTTTAGTTATTAGGATATTATTATATTTGTTGCGAGGGGAACGGTTTTTCGGGCTGTCGGCTTGAGTTCTCTCAGGTCTGCGTTAAAGGCTTTGTCTTCACACGCCTCGAGTTGGGATAGTGATTAGTGTAGAATTTCAGTTTCGTTCTTATTTGTAAAAGGTCAAAGGGTTGCTTGCATGAACATCCAAAGTCCCTTTCTACGACCATAATGGCAACATCTACACCCAAACTAATCGTGTTGGTATGAGAAATCAGCTCGTTCCGTGCGTCTCCAATTATTATATGTCCCATGTAGAAAACATTTAAACAGTTCTGTAAGCCGAAAATATATGTCAGCAACGCGGACGATATTTTTATTTTAGCGAAAAACACAAAAGAAACTGATATTCTCAAAACCACATTTGAAAAAATAAACTTACGAACTTACGAAAAATAAACTCCCATTCTTAAACGTTCTCGTAAAATAAAGTAACAACACTTTTACCATATCATTGTATAAAAAACCCACGAGTACAAACTTTTGCCAACTCAATTTTAAAAGTGAATGTCTACTCAGATACAAAATAGCAGTAATAAAAAAACTTCCTAAAGAGAGCATACAAGAATTCAACCTCTGGTCTACTTTTCCTTAAAGAACTCAACAAAGCAAAACAGACACTGTTTAACAATGGTTTTCTTAACCACCTCATCGACCAAAAGATTAGACTATTTATTTCCAAAGTAAATAATAACGATACTAAACACACAGACAAAAATAACATGAATATTTTCTACAAAAGCCAAATGCATATCAACTATAAACAAGATGAACCTTCACTTAGAAATATCATAAAGAAATACACAAAACCAGTTAACCCGAACAAAAAATAATCGACTACAAAAAATTTAAAACAGCTACCCTTATCTTCAAAAATAACAAAAAACCTACAAAATCAAAACAACAAAAAACGAACATTATTTACGAGTTCAAATGCCCCTCAAGGAACTGTGTTCCTGATCAAACCGAACTCATAAATAATGACATCGGTCACACTACTAAATTCTTATCCACGTTTAAACATATACGCCAGCTTATCAGAAACATACTGATAGAAAATACAACCATAAAAACCTCCTCCACATTTAAAAAAAGATTAGATATAATGGAAGCCTTAATAATAAAAAAAACAGCCAGCACTTAATAATATTAACTACGAACACGGCCACAATGTGCTGACTTTTTGGAAAATAAAAACATCACTATAACTTTAGACACATACACACAACACATACATTCAGTTAAAAAGTAAAAATAAAATCATCCTTGATAATGACTAAAAGAATAGCCGAAAACGCTCGGAATTACAGAACATTTGTACAGTTTCTACAACACTCTGTGTCCAGAATAGGAAACACTTATTCGAACATAAGAAAAATTAAATAAAAAGCTTATTCGCAGTACCTTGTCTGTCGTCTTTAATGAAACACACACACACACACACACATATATATATATATATATATATATATATATATATATATATATATATATATATATATATATATATATGTATGTATGTATAATTATATATGTGTATGTGCCTTTTTAAAGTATTCCATATTTACATAAAAAGTTTATTTGCTTCTGTTATTTCATTTACTTAAATCTCGATTCAGAATTTTTTTTTCTTTATATATATATATATATATATATATCAAAGTATATAATTGGTATATACGGAATGAATTCCAATAACCAACAATTACTATTCTTAAAAGAGTGCTCAATACAAAGTAGAGCAGATATAATTATTTTTATAAAAAAATTATAACATAAGTATGTTATAAAATCACTACAAAAATAGCCATTTTGTTTCAACACACTCTGTGTCTTATCAAGTGATGATGTTGAAAAGAAAATAAATGGTTTTAAAAGTTTCAGATTAATTAACGATCCTACACTAGGGGGAAACATTGTTACAAAAGCTAGAATAACCAATCAAAAACGAAGTATAGAAAGATTCAAAAGCTTGACAACGAAATCCTGCTATAATAGCTATTCAGATCTTTAAATACGTGTAATATTAAAAATAATTTATACTAACTAATAATTATAAAATTATATGATAAAATTTAATATTAAAATTAAAAACTGGCAATTTTAAAATCCAAATTTAATCACTATTAAGTTTAAAAACTACAAAATTATTGAGAAAAGAAAAAAATATATATGTTTATTCAATTCATTTCTTCATTGAAATTACGTTCGACAAGACAAGACGCTACAATACATCCGGTCATTTGACAATACATGTATATATATTTTTTTTAATACAATACATGTATATATATTTTTTTAATACAATACATGTATATATATATATATTTTTATGGCTATTTTTGTAGTGATTTTATAACATACTTATGTTATAATTTTTTTATAAAAAATAATTATATATATATATATATATATACATATATTGTGTATTTTGGCTGCAATCCCTGTTTTATACAATTTACGTTAAAGACGACTAACAAGATAACGCGAGCTTTTTATTTAATTTTTCTTGTGTTCGTACAAGTGTTTTGTTTTTCTGGAAAGAATGTATGTAAAAACTGCCCAAAAGTTCTGCCTATCCGAATCCTGTAACTACAGAATTAACAATATTTAATGCCCCTTAAGGAACGGTGTTCCTGATCAAACCAAACTCATAAATGATCATATTTGTCATACCACTACATGCCTATCTAGACTACTCACGTTGGACCTACTCGAGCATAGTTCAATTAAGACTCATTTAAACACAGTCTGAAACCTACCAAACTCCATCCGGAACATACTACTAGAAAATACATGTATAATAGCTTCATCCACATTTAAAATATACTTAAAATAATGAAAGCACTAATAATAAAAAAGAAACAGCCAACACTCTATAACATTAACTATGAAAACGGCCACAATGTGCTGACCCTGTTTGGAAAATAAAACATTCCTATAACTATAGACACATACATAAAATAAATCAAGCATTCAGTTAAAAATAAAAATCCTCCTTGATAATGGCTAAATACATAACCGAAATTGTTCGGATGAATAGAGATTTTGATCAGTTTTTATACATTTTGTGTCCAGAAAAGAAAACACTTGTGCAATATAGATTATGGTATTAATGTGTGTGTGTGTGTGTGTGTGTGTGTGTGTGTGTGTGTGTGTGTGTGTGTGTGTGTATAATGGAATGCACCAATTCATCCGCAAGTGTTCCGTCATCTTGTCTTTCGCGGCTGTTGACTATTCCATGGCAATATTTATCCAAGTAATGAAAATTTATTTCTTCACAGTAGAAACATAAGACAGGAATTAACAGAAGGCAAAATATAATCATCCTAATACAAAGTTAAGAAGCTTTTAATTCCACTCTGTCGCTCAAAATACAATTGACTCTTTTTACCGTGTCGATCTGAACCAATTGACGTGGTGCAATTATTCCGGAAGTGATAAAAATTTACATCTTGAAAGTACCTCCAACTTCCGGCGTTGTGAAAAGGATCGCAATGAAATCAACCACACGGGAGTCCAAATACTGTCAGATCGAATACCTCTGGGAAATTTTACATCATTTTTATAGACAAGCCTGTAAAGTCTGACTAAAGCGGTCGGATAATTTAGAGGATTATAAATAAATTCCACTGACAAACTATCTCTATTAATAATCCATCAAGAAGTTTTCTTTTTCAGCGAATTACAAATGAATGTCGGATGTTTGAATCAATTAAACTTGTGTTCGTCATGAAATCATTTGACTGCCAGTTTGATTAATAAACTCCATTTTTCGACTCTTAGGTTGTGCGGATTTTGTGAAAAGTTCTCGACGAAAGAATAGTATATATATATATATATATATATATATATATATATATATATATATATATATATATACTGCTGATATTAATAAAACTGCTCAATGTAATACAACAGAGCTATTAAGTATATATTAAAAATTATATTAGCATTTAAAATAAACGGGATTTGTATATATACGTGTATGAAACAAATTCAAGAATTTTTAGGAATTGAGAATATAAATTTTTTTATTATTAAAGAAAGCTTACTTGTTCCTTTTATATATATATATATATATATATATATATATATATATATATAGAGAGAGAGAGAGAGAGAGAGAGAGAGATAGATAGATAGATAGATAGATAGATAGATAGATAGATAGATAGATAGATAGAAAGAAAGATAGATATGGTTTTAAGATATGCTATGTTTATGAATAAGCTCAATATTAAAGACTAAATGTAAATATGTTTCAACGTAATTTTCAGGCCATATGTGCTTTGTTTTGGCTCAGCCATTTATATATGCTAGTCAATGGTGCATTATGGGTAGAAGGTCGACAGCATTATCCTAAATGTTATTGGGTATTTCAGATTATTCCAGAGGTTATTAAGTAGAAATTTTATAGTATTGTTACCTTTTTACTCATTATTTATTATTGATAACTTAATTATTTTTTGCTTATTATTATTTTTATTAATTCATTTAATTGTGTTTATGTGTGTGTTCGGCATTCGTAGTTTTTTAATTTAGTTATTATTTAATTAATCTATTTATTTATTTATTTAGATTTTCTCTTAATTTTATTTTTACTTGGGGCTTGGTTATGTTATTTGTTTAGTTTAAAGTATTGTTTATTTCTACCATATATTATTGACCAGCATATATAAACAGTCGAGCCAAAACACAACACACATGGGCAGAAGACGAGGTTCAAGCATGAAACAGATAGTCGCAGTTTGGTATTGCCACTTTTATGTTTATATATATATATATATATATATATATATATATATATATATATATATATTAGAAAAATAAATTCTCTTCATTAAATTCTATTCAAAACCGTTAGAAGTTATTATTGTTTTGTTTTTCTTCATTAATACGTTGTTTTGAAAACAATTTTCATGTGATTCTCCTACTTCTCAACAGAACTGATCTTCAACGCGCAATTAAAAACATTCAAATATTTGTCTTCTTTTTACTTAATCGCGCCTCATTTTTTGTTTTTTCTTGATTCTTTCCCTTTCTTTAATTACATTTTTGCACTAAAAAAAGAATTAATTTCACACCTAACGTTTTTTTTCTTAAAATGACGTTCATTTTTATATGAATCATATATGTCACCCCGAGAAACATACTACTGATATTCGATAATTAATATTTAATTGACACTACACAAACTTCCTAATTTTCTAGCTATTAGTAAATTCATGGGTGTTTAAATGCGCATTACTTTTTGAAGGTTAAACATTTGCATATATACTGATGCAAACATAGACTAATTAAATATATTTATCCCGATTTCATTTTTAAAGATTATAATATTCAGTAAATTCTTGAAAAATTTGAGACCATTTTGTATATTTTTGTATCTTTGTTCGTTATTTTATCATAGCGACTCATTACAATAATGCGCTCAGATTGTGTCGCACATCGAAGCATTTTTTAGGAAAAGGCTGATCTTAATAAATTACTTATTGGCTAACAATACAACAAAAAGTACCTTCTTTATTTCAAACGAATCAAATCGTCTCAGCACGGGAAATTGGTTAGAAAAATAATCTCATCGACCATTATGACTATAGTGATAGTGATTCTCAATAAATGCCTTGCACAAGTGGCCTTATGTCTGACTAATTTTCAGAAAAAAATTACTATTCATCTTGTAACATTTACAGAGATAAGAAACAAGTATCGCTCATCAATAGTACATTTTCTAACAACTAATAAAGCGAACAGGACTGTCCTTGAATTTACTCTCTAAGGTCATCTAAACACGTCTGCGTGTCTATTTTAAATGATGCTCAAATAGATATTTATAGACTTTCTCTGTCTGATGTTTATCCAGGTTAATCCCAGTTGATTAAAATGGGATAAATAATTGTCACATATCAAACGTTAATCTTTCTTCAATTTATCGAGAGCACAAAGTTATCAGCTCTCCATTGAACGATAAAGATGTGCGTCTTGCAAGAAACTGTCTTCAAGTTGTAACGCTAAGATAGGATTTCGTATAACCCGACAGCAAACGAGTTACAAGATGAATTGAGCAAATGGGAAATCAGAAACATGCTTGCTGCCTGAAACATTAATAATTCAAATGACGGTCATTGTGTCTTTACTAAATTTCTTTTATCAGTGATAAAGATCCAATATCAAAGGGGGGGAAACATTTCCAGCTCCTCTCCCTATTCAACATTGTGAGGACTTTTGTGTATGTGCGTGTATGTGTGTGTGTGTGTATTTGTTTAATTTCCTATAATTATAGGAGAAGAATATTAAGTATCGAACTTAGGGCGTTTATAACTATATACAGTAAGGACAGAGAAATCGGTACTATGTGGTGACTGTCAGTAGCATTTGCTCTGAAGAACAAATTGAGTTGCGAAATTCACAGTCACCATGCCATGTTGATTTCTATGTTCGTCGTATATATATATATATATATATATATATATATATATATATATATATATATGGGGGCTGTATGTTAAAGAAAATGCTGAAAATTTCTCCGGCAGATATACTTCCCAAACTTTAACCAAATACTTAATCTGAATTTATTTTTAAGCCGCATAACATCAAACTAATCATAGAAAGAAAGCATTTACTCTATTATCAGTATGTATTGCCCCAAGGAATACATCGGAAAAACCTCAGAGAATTTGAATAAAATACTATATGAACACAAAAGGAATATTTTACAAAACAACACATTAAATGCCTTACTTGTTCACTGTAACGATTTTGTTATAAGAAATGCTACTCTAATTAAAAGAGAAAACAATTCATTCAGACGAAAATGTTTAGAAACTGCTTTAATCGCTAATGAGTGCACAATAATCTGTATCCAGGTTCTTACATTTCATCTTTTGTAGCAGATCTTCAACTACCACAATGTGGAATATTTGATAACAAAATTGATGGAAACAAAAACAAAAAGAATCTAAATGAAATCCGCTAGATTATATAAGCCAAAACGCGTAGAAAAACCATCATTAAATTTAAAATCTAACAGTGTCTCTTGTTCGTGCGCATGCGTAATAGCATCAACGTAAATATAAACTTAGTCCGAGGAAATCTTAAAGAAGGAAAAGCGTCACTCAAAAACTTTTTCCAATTTGTCATGCATCTTTCTCCCATATATATATATATATATATATATATATATATATATATATATTGCGTATATTTTGGCCCCATGTCATGTTTCATTGTATAATTTGGACAAGTTTTGCCTACTTATTTTCCATTGGATCCATTCATATTTACGAACGAGCTTTTTGGTGTCATTAATGGAATAGAGAAAACTGCCGCGTTGATACATATTATTTTGTTCAGAGTATTTTCGACATAGCACAATGTCATCCTCAGATTTCAAGACAAATATTGTATTGTTCATCATTTTCTTCAAAGATAAAATTGCTGTGTTCATCTGAAATGAAGAACGCGGAGTGAGTACCTGATTGCTTGACTATCGCTTCAAGGGAAGTAACTAAGTATGTTGTGTCGAGTGTTTTTATGAAATAAACAGTAAAACTATTAGTACAAATCTTGATATTTTAAACTACCTGTTGTAAACATTTTAAAACATCTGTACAGTGTTCATACTTAATTTTATTAAAGTTTGATGTCAATTTTTTAATATAGATAGCTTCGAGAATTTTTAGTTTATACTTATTATTTTCATGAAAAAGTATAGTTGTATTTTCAACAAGAATTTTTCTGAATTGCGAATGTGGACTGGTATGCTGTTGTAAATGTTTAGAAATGTTGAACATATCATTTAAATGAAAACTCAGCCGCCGAGAAAACGTAGTCATAGTGTGCCCAATATAAATATTATTTTTTCCGTTGGAGATACAATCCCCCAGAAGGTATTTAAATTTATAAACATGTTAGTAGGTGGGGAAGAGTCGTTACGAATGATTGAATTAGATATACTAAATTTAGTGTAGTATATAATTAATTTTTTTTACTAAAAAATAAAATTAATAAAACATCATTAGAGAGAACATTAGTTCGAATGTATAACATAAATACTGCATAATTCTGCCTTTTTTCGATGACTCGAACTTTTGCAATTAGACTTTATTTATTCAATTTATTCATTGAACGAATTTCCTGTTCAATTAAAGTTTTGAAATCAAATAATGAAGTTGGGATTCGAAGTTTCGTTAATAAGAATGTTTTATAGTTAAAATTGAAAAAATAAAAACGAACGACTTTTTTCTTCACACGTCTTTCGTCCAGGTTGTTTATCAATAAACATTTGGAAATGATGATGAAAAAAATCATTGCCTATTAGAGTCATATTATTCAGAATTTCTATTTATTGCTATTTACAATATATACCAAGTTTGTTTCAAAGACAAACTTACAATTGTAGGAGCGTAATTCTCACTAGGTACTCACTCACTTGACTGTAGAGAAATATTTGAATATGATTAAGATAACATATTTATTTAAGCTTGTATCTTGAAAAATGTTTAGAAGTATGGTAGAAAGTGATCGATCACTAACATTCAGACAACTAAAATTCCCATTTAACACACACATACACACACGCACACACACGCATATATATATATATATATATATATATATATATAAGAGTGGGCAGTCAGATCAAAATCGATCGGCGATAGTCTGTTTCCTGTCCACTTTTATATTTACATACGGTCTATCTCTGATATTAAACACTTTTATCGATAAATATATCATGCCTTAAAGCGGTATTTTTATCAAATATATATGAGACACCTAGGTAAAACTTTTAACAAACAAGCCCGATGTATTCAACAATATACTTTCGGGTGATGTAGTATGGTATCTATAGTTATTCAATAATACAAATTGTTTTATACACATGAACACGGTAAGTGGGAAAATACAGATACGAACAGATCATTATACAGAAAATAAGACATGTAAAATTTATGATCCGCTTGTCACACGTCAATATTAACATCATCTTAGATGAAGATTAAGAAATGCTTCTTTCATATTAAATGATCCCACAGATTGCATAAAGTCCGGAAACTTCAACTTGTCTCTTTAGTGCAAAAGTTTCAAAATATGAAGGGTCGGTTTCGAGAAGAGGATTAAATTTTTGAAAATCCAAGAATGAGTCAAATAGTCAAGGAGTTGGAATAACAAGGCAAAAGAAGCGTGCTTATCTTGAGAACGTTTTGGATA